AAAAAAAAAAAAAAAAAAGAAAAGCTGAGGCAATGGGCAGTGCCTGTGGCTCAACGGAGTGGGGCACCAGTCCCATATGCTAGAGGTGGCAGGTTCAAACCCAAACCCCAGCCAAAAACTGAAACAAAACAAAACAAACAAACTAAAAAAGCTGAGGCAAGAGGATCAGTAGGGGAAGGGGAGGGGAAAGGAAGTGAGGGGAGGGGGAAAGAAAGAAAGAAATCAAAAAGAGAATGAGAAAATGACAAAAACAGTGCGGAGCCTGGGGCTCAACAGAGTAGGGCGCCAGCCCCACATACTGGAGGTTGTGAGTTCAAACCCGGCCCCAGCCAAAAACTGCAAAAAAAAAGAAAATGAGAAAAAAACTGTAAATTATATATTTGATTAGGGAACTTGTACCTAGATATATGAAGAATTCTTACAATTCAATAATAAGAAAGAGCCCAATTGAAAAACAGGCAAAGGACGTTTTGAGGCCGATCACAAAGGCTCACGCCTATAATCCCAGCACTCTGGGAGGCCAAGGCAGGTAGACCGCCTAAGCTCAGGATTTACCAGCCTGAGCAAGAGTGAGACCCTCCCTCTTTACTAAAAACAGAAAAAATTAGTCAGGCATTGTGGTGGGCATCTGTAATCTCAGTGACTTGGGAAGCCGAGACAGAAGGATTACTTGAACCCAGGAATTTGAGATTGCTATGAGCTAGGCTGACACCATGGCACTCTAGCCTGGGGTAGCAGAGTGAGATTCTGTCTCAAAAAAAAAAAAAAAAAAAAGCCAATGTGGAAACAGACCAAATAACCATCAACTAATGGAAAAACCAACAGGAATGAAGGGACTGTCACATGCTATCACATGGGTAACTTTGAAACCATCGTGCTAAGAGAAAGAAGCCAAGTACAAAAGACCACACATGACTCACACAAAAGACCCTGTGTGAGTCCATTTATATGAAATACCCAGAGAATGAATAAATACACAGAGGTAAGATTAGTGGTTGACTAGGGATAGGGAGAGTAAGGGAAATAGGGACTGACTGCTAATGGGTACAGGTTTCTTCTTGGAATAGTGAAAATGTTCTAAAATTGATGGTGGTGACAAATGCACAGTTCTGAGAATATACTAACAACCACTGAACTGGCATTTGGCCTCTCTTCCAAATTCTGATTTAGTTAGAAGTGAGGTATTGGCATCAATTTTTTTTTTTTTGCAGTTTTTGGCTGGGGCTGGGTTTGAACCCGCTACCTCCAGCATATGGGGCTGGCACCTTACTCCTTTGAGCCATGGGCGCCGCCCCTACATCAATATTTTTAAGACTTCCCCAGAGTGATTCTATTACACGTCCCAAGTTGAAAGCCTCTGACCTAAGAAGAGGGAGAAGAAAACCAAAGCAGCACTCATACCTCCTGGGGATCCACCACACAGAAGTGATACAAATACTGATCCACGTAGACTCCAGTAGTTACAGGTGCATAAAACTGGTTGCAGAGGGCATATATCTGTGAACCATAGATAGACCCAGAAGACTGGGCAGTGGGGTTGACCCCCATTATGTAGACAATTGTGGAAATAAACATCATGATGACCAGGATAGCACTCACTATTATCACCATCAAGTAATATCTTCTTGTTCTGGACATTTCAGATCGTATAACACTGGTAACAAATATCACCAATGTAGCAATGAAGCAAAAGGCAGCCATGGCCAACAAGAAGCCCTTGGCCGCTCTGGGATCTGTATAGCCTCCGTAGCCATAACCGTAGCCGTAGCCATAGCCATAGCCACTTCCGTAGCCACCAAAGCCACTTCCTCCATAAGGGTAGCCTATACCACCTCCTAACAAGGCAGTTCCATAGCCTCTGTCCCAGGCAAGTGTGGAGGCAACACAGGCAAAGATGGCAATGCACATCACGATAATGAGCATAGACAGAATCCGAATCACTCCGGGAGGGGAGGTCCACTTGTAGAAGTGAAGAATTTCATCTTCTGGGTAAAAAGAATATGCTGGCTGGGAAAGCATTGGTCGAACATGCATCTCTCCACCATACATGTCATTGCTTGGTGCATAATGATTCGGTTTGCTGAAATGCACAAGAAAACAATTTCAAGTTAGCACTTTTTGGTGGCAAGTAGAGAGAACAGGTAATGATTGGAATAATTTAAACAAACTATTGGTAAATGAAACTATTATTGCTGCCTTACTGAACAGTAAAGGTATCACCTGAAGAGCATGTTAAAACAGATTACGGGCGGTGCCTGTGGCTCAGTGAGTAGGGTACCAGCCTCATACACCGAGGGTGGGGGGTTCAAACCCAGCCCCAGCCAAACTGAAACAAAAAATAACCAGGTGGGCACCTGTAGTCCCAGCTACGTGGGAGGCTGAGGCAAGAGAATCGCCTAAGCCCAAGAGCTGGAGGTTGCTGTGAGTTGTGATGTCAAGGCACTCTACTGAGGGTGACAAAGTGAGACTCTGTCTCTAAAAAAAATAAAATAAAAAAACGTAGATTACTGGCCATCAGCCACACAGCTGCTGCCTCTGCAGGTCTAGGGTAAGACAAGTTTCCAGGTGATGCTGATGCTGCTGGTCCAGAAAACATGCACTAAGAATGACTGCTCTAGTATACTATGGAGCAAAGGTTCTCAAAATTTGATCTGTGTTAGAATCATGATAGCGGTCCCCACCCTTTGGGTACAAGGAACTAGTTTAATGGAAGACAATTTTTCATAGACAGAGAGAGGGATGAGGGTGGGGATGGTTTCAGGATGATTCAAGTGCATTACATCTCCACCTAAGATAATCAGGCATCGGGTTCTCATAAGGAGTGTACAACCTAGATTCCTCCCATCCTCACAGAAGGGTTTGCACCTATGAAAATCTAATACCACCACTTATCTGACAGGAAGCAGAGTTCAGGCAGTGATGTGAGCAATTGGGAGCAGCTGTTAATATAGATGAAGCTTCAATCACAGTTACCAAAGCATTAAAGCTACAAACTACTTAAAAGGAAGAAAGGGGATTTAAGAATTTAAATTTAGAATTTAAGAATTTGCTGGTAAGTTCCTAAATGACCAAGAAATCCAAGAACTCTCAACTTTGCTTCCTTTATACAGTGGCAAGAATCACTCTTAAAACCCACAAAGTGGAAACACTATGCTAAGTAAAAGAAGCCAGTTACAAAAGGCTACATATTACATGATTCCATTTATATGAAACATACACAATACAGACAGAAAGGGGAGGCTTGGGCTAGAGGAACTGGGAAGGGACTGCTGATGGGTGATGAAAATGCTCGGAAATTAACTGTGGTGATGGTTGTACCACTCTGTGAATATACTGAAAACCCCTGAATGGTCCAATCTAAGTGCATAAATTGTATGGTATGTGGATTATATCTAAATAGAGCTGTTATTTTTTTAATTGACAATATGTTGCTAATGGCCATCTAAATGAGGATGGTTCATATCATTTGTTAAGAACAAAAGGAATAAATATACACATAGGCTCGGCGCCTATAGCTCAACTGGCTAAGGCGCCAGCCACATACACCTAAGGTGGTGGGTTCAAATCCCCAGCCCAGACCCGCCAAACAACAATGACGGCTGCAACCAAAAAA